GTGACCCCAAAATCCCATTTTAACCCCAAAAATCCCATTTTAACCCCCCAAATCCCCGTTTCAAAGCCCCCCGGATAATTTCTGGGAATTTTTGGGAATTTTTGGGAATTTTTTCCGGCTCACTGGATGGATTTGATCCACTCGTCCTTCTGGTCCCGCGTGGGCGCCGAGATGCGGTGACCCCAAAAATCCCATTTTAACCCCAGAAATCCCATTTTAACCCCAGAAATCCCCGTTTCAAAGCCCCCCGGATAATTTTTGGGAATTTTTGGGAATTTTTTGGGGCTCACTGTATGGATTTGATCCACTCGTCCTTCTGGTCCCGCGTGGGCGCCGAGATGCGGTGACCCCAAAATCCCATTTTAACCCCCAAAATCCCATTTTAACCCCCCAAAGCCCCGTTTGAAAACCCCCCGGATAATTTTCGGGAATTTTGGGAATTTTTTCCGGGAATTCCGGGCTCACTGTATGGATTTGATCCACTCGTCCTTCTGGTCCCGCGTGGGCGCCGAGATGCGGTACACGGCGTGGTTCCCCTCCACCACGCGCCCGTCCGCCTCCGTCTTGCAGGCCTTGATCAGCTGGCCCCGGTTGTTGGGGATGTAGAGCTCGAAGCAGTGCTGCCAACCGGGTCAGACCGGTTCAGACCGGTTCCAGACCGCTCAGAACCGGTTAGAACCGGTCTGGGGGAGATTGGGGTGGAATCGGGTAGAGGGCGATGGAGGGAGAGGGGAAAAATGGGGGAAAAATGGGGGAAAAAAGGGAATTTTGGGGAATTTAAAGTGGACTGGAAAGGGTTAAAAACCAGTACAAACCAGTTAAAAACCAGTTAGGACCGGTTAGAACCGGTCTGGGGGAGATTGGGGTGGAATCGGGTAAAGGGCGATGGAGAGAGAGGGAAAAATGGGGGAAAAATGGGGAAAAAAGGGAATTTTGGGGAGTTTAAAGTGGACTTCAAAGGGTTAAAAACCAGTAAAAACCAGTACAAACCAGTTAAAAACCGGTTCCAAACCGGTTAGAACCGGTCTGGGGGAAATTGGGGTGGAATCGGGTAGAGGGTGATGGAGAGAGAGGGGAAAATGGGGGAAAAAGGGAATTTTGGGGAGTTTAAAGTGGACTGGAAAGGGTTAAAAACCAGTAAAAACCAGTACAAACCAGTACAAAACTGGTTAGAACCGGTCTGGGGGAAATTGGGGTGGAATCGGGTAAAGGGTGATGGAGAGAGAGGGGAAAAATGGGGAAAAAATGGGGAAAAAGGGAATTTTGGGGAATTTAAACTGGACTGGAAAGGGTTAAAAACCACTATGGACCAGTACAAACCAGTATAAACCAGTTCAAACCAGTTCCAAACCAGTTCCAAACTGGTTAGAACCGGTTTGGGGTAAATTGGGGTGGAATCGGGTAAAGGGCGATGGAGAGAGAGGGGAAAATGGGGGAAAAAGGGAATTTTTGGGTGATTTTTGAGGTGATTTTTGGGGAAATTATTTTGATTTTTGAGGCAATTTTTGGGGTGATTTTTGGGGTAATTTTGGGCTGATTTGGGACAATTTTGGGCTGATTCTTTGGGATAATTTTGGGATGATTTTTAGGTAATTTTGGGCTGGTTTTTGGAGTAATTTTGGGCTGTTTTTTGGGGAGATTTTTGGGGGAATTTGTGCTGATTTTTGGGAGATTTTTGAGGTGATTTCTGGGGAAATTATTTTGAATTTTGGGCTGGTTTTTGGGGATCCTTGGGGTGATTTTTGGGTGACTTTTGGGGCAATTTTGGGGTGATTTTTGGGTGATTTTTGGGATTTTTTTTGGGGGGTGATTCGGGAGGATTTTGGGCTGATTTTTGGGAGACTTTGAAGTGACTTTTGGGGTGGATTTTTGGAATTTTTGGGTGATTTTTAAGATTATTTTGGGGCAATTTTGGGGTGTTTTTGGGTTGATTTTGGGGCTGTTTTTCGGGGGATTTTGAGATGATTTTTGGAGTTATTTTGGGGTAATTTTTTAGGTGATTTTGGGGTAATTTTGGGGTGATTTTTGGGGTGATTTTTGGGGGATTTTGGGGTGATTTTGAGATGATTTTTGGAGTTATTTCGGGATACGTTTTTAAGTAATTTTGGGGTATTTTAGGCTGATTTGAAGAAGCTTTTTGGGTAATTTTTGTGGTGATTTTGGGTGATTTTGGGGTGATTTTTGGATAATTTTAGGGGTGATTTTTGGGGGATTTTGGGGCGATTTTGGGGTGATTTTTGGATAATTTTAAAGGTGATTTTTGGGGGATTTTGAGGTGATTTTTGGGGGATTTGGGGGCGATTTTGGGGTGATTTTTGGATAATTTTTGGGATGATTTTGGGGCGATTTGGAGGTGATTTTTGGATAATTTTTAAGGTGATTTTTGGGGGATTTTGGGGCGATTTTGGGGTAATTTCTGGATAATTTTTGGGGCAATTTTGGGTGATTTTGGGCAATTTTGGGGCGTTTTGGCTCTCACCGGCTTGCGCGGATCCTCGACCTCACGGATGCTCAGGTTCTCCAGCGGGATGATTCCCCGCGGCTCCTTGTCCTGGAATTCCGGAATTTTGGGGAATTTTTGGGGAATTTTGGGAATTTTGGGAATTTTTGGGGTTTTTTTTGGAAATTTGGGATCCCAGGGAGGGATTTTGGGGTGGATTTGGGGGATTTTGGGGCAGATTCCACCTCGTGGATGATTCCCTGCGGCTCCTTGTCTTGGAAATTCGGGAATTTTGGGGAATTTTTGGGAATTTTGGAGGAATTTTGGGAATTTTGGCATCCCCGGGGCAAAACTTGGGCGATTTTGGGGGGAATTTGGGAGATTTTGGGGGTCCCGAGGTGGATTTTGGGATATTTTGGGGTGAATTGTGGGATTTTTGGGATATTTTGGGTTGAATTTTGGGATTTTTTGGGGTATTTTGGGTGTCCTGAGGATTTTGGGTGTCCTGAGGTGGATTTTGGGTTATTTTGGGGAGAATTTTGGGAATTTTGGGGTGAATTTGGTAGATTTTGGGTCTCACCATGGTGCACTCAAAGTAGTAGAGGCAAATTTGGGATATTTGGGATATTTTGGGGGAATTTTGGGAGATTTTGGGGTGAATTTGGGGGTTTTTGGGTCTCACCGTGGTGCACTTGAAGAAGTAGAGGCGAATTTGGGATATTTGGGATATTTTGGGTTATTTTGGGTGAATTTTGGGGGATTTTGGGGTGGATTTGGGGATTTTTGAGGGTCCCCAGGTGGATTTTGGGATATTTTGGGGGGATTTTGGGAATTTTGGGGTGAATTTGGGGGATTTTGGGGTGAATTTGGGGGATTTTGGGTCTCACCGTGGTGCACTCAAAGTAGTAGAGGCGAATTTGGGATATTTGGGATATTTTATGTTATTTTGGGTGAATTTTGGGGGATTTTGGGGTGGATTTGTGGGTTTTTGGGGGTCCCGAGGTGGATTTTGGGATATTTTGGGGAGAATTTTGGGAATTTTGGGGGGAATTTGGGGGATTTTGGGTCTCACCGTGGTGTACTCGAAGTAGTAGAGGCAGTTGTCGGTCAGGATGAACCAACGGCGCTTCCACGTCTTCACCCGCCCCCCTGAGGGCGATTTGGGGGAAATTTGGGCATTTTGGGCAATTTCGGAATTTTGGGGGGATTTTGTGGTAAATTTGAGGAGATTTTAGCCGGAATTTTGGGGGAAATTTTGGATTTTTGAGGGAATTTTGGGGGAATTCCAGTGAGAATCGGTTGAATTTCAAGAGATTTTGGAGGGAATTCAGGAGAATTTGGGGGATTTTGGGAAATTTTGGATTTTTGAGGGAATTTTGGGGGGATTTTGGGAGAGTTTTGGGGAAATACGTGAAGATTTTGGGGCAAATTTGGGAGAATTTTGGGGTGTTTGGGAGAAATTTGGGGAAATTTGGGGGATTTGGGGTAATTCTGGAGAATATCAGGAATTTTTGGAAGATTTTGGGTTTTTGAGAGAATTTTGGAGAGATTTTGGGGGAAATATGGGAAGATTTTGGGGCAAAATCAGGAGAATTTCAGGGCTTTGGAAAGAAATTTGGGGAATTTTGGGGAAATTTTGGAGTGATTTTGGATTTTTGGGGGGATTTGGGGGAATTTTGAAGGAATTTTGGAAAATTTTGGGGATTTTTGGGGGTCCCCACCCCTGCACTCACCTCCTGGGGGGTCCCAAAGGCAGCACGGAGGAAAATTTGTAAAATGTTGGGAAAATTTTGGGAATTTTTGGAATTTATAAAATTTTGGGGGGATTTCGGGGAATTTTGGGAGCATTTTAGGGGATTTTTGAGGGAATTTGGAAGAATTTTAGGGAATTTTGGGGAAATTCGGGGGATTTTTTAGGTATTGGGGAATTTCGGGAAAATTTGAGAGAATTCCACAAGAATTTTGGGAAAATGAGGGGAAATTTTAGGCAGATTTGGTGAATTTTAGGGAATTTTGGGGAATTTTAGGGAGAATTTTTGGAGAATTGGGGAATTTTGGGGGAATTTGAGAGAATTCCACAAGAATTTTGGGAAAATGAGGGGAAATTTTAGGCAGATTTGGTGAATTTTAGGGAATTTTGGTGAGAATTTTTGGAGAATTGGGGAATTTTGGGGGAATTTGAGCGAATTTCAGAGGAATTTTGGGAAAATGAGGGGAAATTTCGGGGAGATTTGGAGAATTTTGGGGGGAATTTTGGGAAAATTTGGGAAGAATTTTCGGGGAGATTTGGGGATTTTGGCAAAAGTTGGGAAGATTTTTTTGGGGAAATTTGGGAAATTTTGGGGGAAGAAAGGAAAGAAAAAGGAAAAATCGTTAAAATTCCACAAAACCGAACTGGGAGCGACTGGGGGGAACTGGGAGGGCCAAAAATGGGAATTTTGGAGTAATTTGGGCGGGTTTTTGGGCGTGGCCAGGTGTGGGCGTGTCCAGGTGCGGTGGGCGTGTCCAGGTGATGTGGGCGTGGCCAATGCGAAGCCCCACCCACTTTGAGCCCATTCAAACCCCATTAAACCTCAAAAAATGCCCAAAATTTGGAATTTTGGAGTAATTTGGGTGGGGTTTTTTGGGCGTGGCCAGGTGAGGGCATGTCCCAGGTGCGGTGGGCGTGTCACAGGTGAGGTGGGCGTGGCCAACGCGAAGCCCCACCCACTTTGAGTGCATTCAAACCTCATTAAACCTCCAAAAATGCCAAAAAATCTGAATTTTTGAGTAATTTGGGCGGGGTTTTTTGGGCGTGGCCAGGTGAGGGTGTGGCCAGGTGAGGTGGGCGTGGCCAGGGCAGATCCCACCCACTTTGAGCCCATTCAAACCCCATTAAACTTCAAAAAATACCCAAAAATCGGAATTTTGGAGTAATTTTGTCGGGATTTTTTGGGCGTGGCCAGGTGAGGGCGTGTCCAGGTGCGGTGGGTGTGTCCACGTGATGTGGGCGTGGCCAGGGCAGATCCCACCCACTTTGAGCCCCATTCAAAGCCCATTAAACCTCAAAAAATGCCCCAAAATCGGAATTTTGGAGTAATTTTGTCGGGATTTTTTGGGCGTGGCCAGGTGAGGGCGTGTCCCAGGTGCGGTGGGCGTGTCCCAGGTGCGGTGGGCGTGGCCAACGCGAAGCCCCACACACTTTGAGCCCATTCAAACCCCATTAAACCTCAAAAAATACCCAAAAATTTCAATTTTTGAGTAATTGGTGTGGGATTTTTTGGGCGTGGCCAGGTGAGGGCGTGTCCCAGGTGCGGTGGGCGTGTCCCAGGTGCGGTGGGCGTGGCCCAGGTGCTCACCCAGCTTGAGCAGCCAGCCCTCGCGGTCGGGGTTGAAGAAGGTGTGCGTCAGGTCGTTGCCGTCGTCCTCGGGGATCTTGAAGGGCTCCGAGCGGATGCTCTCGTACAGGTTCTGCCGTTGGGGAAAATTCCGCCCATTTTTTCCCATTTTTTCACCTTTCTCTCCCCAAATTTCACCCGAATCTCCCCCAAATTTCTCCCCGGCCCCGCGCACCCGGAGCAGCTCCTCGGGCAGGTCGCCGCCGTCGTTGATGCCCCAAAAACCCCCAAAATTCCCATTTTTTCACCTTTTTCTCCCCAAATCTCGCCCAATTTTGCCCAAATTTCCCCAAAATCCCCCAAATTCGGGGCGCACCCGGAGCAGCTCCTCGGGCAGGTCGCCGCCGTCGTTGATGCCCCAAAAACCCCCAAAATTCCCATTTTTTCACCTT